TAAAGATCAAAATTCTTAATGTTGTTATACTTTGTTATTATTACAATCAAACTATTATTATATTTCCTTGTATTTTGTTATTAGTGATTATTAATGTTATTATATTATGTTATTTTTAATTAAATTGTATTATTTTGATATGACCAGTTTGACCCTGAGTTGATCCCAATTCGACTAACTAACCGTTGAACCACTACCTCAATTGGTTTAGTGTCCGGTTTGGTTTTTTGTTCTTAGGTTTATAGCTCCTAGAGAGGCTTCTTTGTTATTGTAGATGATCTAGATGTTGCCTTCTTGACTGGACATGATATGCTTTATCTGGTATGTGCGAATGTTCAAAAGGCACAGAGCTACCCCTCTTTTCAGAGAACTAAAGAAGCTAAGTAATATGAAAAGCCCCTCTCACTCCAAGCTCCTAGAGAGGCTTTCTTTGTAACTGTGGATAACTAAGATGTTACCTTCTTGATTGCACATGACATGCTTTATCTTGTACGTACGAATGTTTAGAAAGCACAGAGCTTTTGTGTAATGCGAATATCCAGTCAGGTTGCAAACTCTCTCTTCCCCCCATATTGATACTGTCAAGGGACTTAGCCACCAAATGTCTGCTATTCTGACATAATACTTTTTTATCCATCCCCAACTTTCGTTATCAAGAACCCATAATTCAACAGTATAAATGTCTGATTTTCTCCTGAATGTTAATATTCCAACCTAATTCTCATAAAGGATCAATCTATCCCTCTTGTGGGAGTCTAGATCGGGCAACATCAATGAAGAAAAAGTTAGGATTTTTGGTCAAAGGCAATCAGCAACTCAAAATAGTCCTCCCACTCCTCTACCAAGAGGAATCAATAACCTCTCCAATATAAAAGACCCAACGGATACCATTTCATCATAGAAGTATACATTTTCTAAATTTTGTAACAGTGTGTTTGTGTGGAGGATGAGTAAAGTTCTGGTTGAGTCATACCCTCACCATCTTTTGACCTATACAATACTAATATGTGATAATTTTGAGACCTGGGGCAAAATCCAAACCCCACAACAACACTTACCCCAAAATTGAGAAATTCTTCGCGAACTGGCATAGCATGGACGTGGGCGAGGTTCCATATAGGCATTAAAAGACGAGGTCCCATGATGAGAAGCCACTCGTTAGATGAACCAATTACACGTCCATATGATTCTAGGAGGTTTTGAAGTTCATGCACTTCATTGTTGCTGTCAAAAAGGAATAAATCAACTTTGATTTGTTTTTGGTCATCAAGAAGATGCGTATTGGGAAGAATTTGCTTCTGCTCTACGAGAAGACATGTACTATGTTGGTTATGGTGGTTGAAATAATGGCTAAGACAATATCAAGTGTCGATAACTTGCCACTAATCTTCGTAGGATGAAACGTACCGTAGAAGGTACCTTATTTGCATTCTGATAAAGATTTCATTTACGATGTCTTGTGGAATATATAGTTTTCCAAATTCCATAATCATTGATGCCTTAATCAGAGGAGGTAAACAGGGAGACAAGGGAGAGAGAAACAGAGTAGCACACAAGAATGAAAGAACAGGTGAGAGAGACAAGGAGGGAGAGAGAAATGGGAATGGCACACAAGAATGAAAGAACAAGGGGGAGATGAGGGGGGAGAGAGAATAGAAATAGCACACAAGAATGAAAGAACATAGGAGACAGATGAGGGAGAGAGAAACATAATATGAGGAAATTCTAATGGCCAGCTTTAAGTATCCTAACTGGAATAACGACTAACTAGCTAGCTTAAGAATAACGGTTTGAGAAAAACTAGTTCACTAGTAAGATATGCATTTTATCTCAAGATTCTAATAATTAGTGCATTGACAAATTAAACATGGTGAAAATGGTAGCTAATTTAGATGTTATAAGCAGTGACATGATAATAGTGATGATATATCTCCTTATCACCTTATTTTTTAGGATGGTTTAGTCATTATGATACCAAAAATAACTAAAGTACATTAATTAGGACTTTGTTCTTTATAGTTTATACTTTTAGTGAATTTGAAATTTCAACACAAAAGTTTACTCAAAAAGAAATATAACACAGAAACAGATCCACATTTTAGAGCAGAAAATATAGAAACATACCTCAATGAAATCAGTAAGGAACCAAAGAGGCATGCCTCTGGTAGGCCTGAAACAAAAATAGCATTTGTTTCTTGAGCTTCTCAGGCGTCTATGGCACCAAAATGTTGGTAGCCTCATCCAAATTTGAAATCTCAAATGGTCCATTTTGTATATCCTACTCTTCCAAGCAAACTCTAGAGCAACACAACACCAATTCATCCCCGGGCATTCAGGAATACCTCATAAATCCACCATAACTAATCCACTCGATACGATGCAGATGACTCGTTGAAGAAGTGGATGTCTGGCATGAAGATGTTAAAACGCGGAACAAAGTGTCAAATTTATTTGTCGTACAAAAATTTGCCTAGATCAACTCTCTCCAATAAGAGGCTTGCATTACACGGTGGGAAAATTCTAATACGCATGCTCTTTTTTTTTTTTTGGTGATATAGATGTCAAAAGTAAAAAAGTTATCTGAATTAAATCAATTAATAGTAGGATCATTGTTATTCATTACATATAGATAGTGGCTATTTTGGTCTAATTGTAGTGTTTAGATTTCTTTCTTGTTTTTTTTTTGGTAAAAGAAGAGGCCTCATGCCCAGAAGAAGAGGCCTTAGTGTGCACTACATTAGTTGTCACATTTATGAATTTTCTTTCCCTCACATATAGAAACTATATAATGATCGGTTGATATTATAAAAATGAAGCATTTTATCTTCATGTCTTCATGTTGAACATAAAATGTTAGGTTTATTCTTCAATTTGAAGCATTGCATTAAGAAAATTATAAAAATTATAATCGCATTCTCTTAATGATATTTTCTAGGGTGATTCCTATAATGAAAATAAAATGCTAAATAATGCAAATATAGATTCTTGCTCTGTTTGGAGCCACATTCTGAACGGTTGGAATTTTTCTCACGTTTGGTTTCGTTTTTGGTCCACCTTGCTTATGGCCCAAAAGTTAAATTAGATAGTACAATTGGGTTAAGCTAATGGGAGCTGCTTTAGGCTTTTTTTTATCGTGTTTATTCTGGGTTGGTGGACTAGTGGAGGCAGAATAATTTCTCTCTCTCTTGTGGGTTGGTGACCATTGTTTTGGGTTACTTATTTTATCGTGCTTAATGTAGCTTCCATAATAAAATTTTTAATTTTTTAAAATTATTTATCACTTTATATTTATCTAAATCATTTTTAATAATATTTCTAACTTTTTAAAACATATTTTATTCGTTAAGCTTCCTTTTAAAATAATTTAGAATTATTATATTATGTAAATTGATAATTTTTTTAAATCATTTTTCATGATTTAATAAAAATTATACCCATTTTAGTAATTTTGTAAACTAAATTTATTCAATCATGATCCAAACAATTTCTAGTGTTATTAAAGAACTTATTTATAAAAGCCAATCCAAATATAAATCATGTTATCTAATTTAACTTTTAAAAAAATTAAATTAAAAATAAGCTACTTTTTCTACCGCTCATTCAAAACAGATATTCTATGTGCTCTTCTTTTTTTCTTTTTTCTTTTTTAGAGGATTCTAGGACTCAAATTTGAATGATTACACTATGACATCACAAGGTAATATTTTTCTCCATGTGTCTGTGCTAGTCAACTTTGAAAAGATTCATTAACATAGGCCCTAACGACCCTTAAAATTTGAACAACTAAAACCATGTCCCTAATGACATAACATAGGCCCGTTTCAATGCGAGTGAAAAGACAGACATCTATAAAAGTTGTTACAACATGCATCTTGAAATAAATTGAAATACTATCTCATCTAAATTATAAGAGCTAGTTGACTAATTTGAAAAGATTAAAGAAAGAAGTTAAATTAGTTATTTGTAATAAATATGTGTTATTTTTCCTAAAATATCCTTGCTAATCAAGTGTATTGGCTAGAACTATTATTATTAGAAGGACTATCTTGAAAAAATATACATAAATATTAGAGACGAAGTAGATTGGGGTCTTATATTTAGGATTAAAATAAAAGTCAAACAAAGTCTTATATTAAGGACCAGATAGTATACATTACAATTAGTCTTTTTAAAGTCGCTGATAAAAAAGAAAAAAGTCTCTTTAAAGTCCCTTCTCTAATCAATCCTAGAAAACAATGTATTAAATAATAAAAAAACCAACAATACAAAACCAAATTACATACGCATGAGAACCAAAAAAAAAAAAAAACATTACAGCCCTCAAAATTACAACTAAATTCGGGAAATAAAAATGTTAATTTGAGGTAGAAGAAGAGGATCACAATGCCTCAGAATATATTGTGTAGTGCCACCTAGCGAAACAGAAGAAAACCAAGAGTAAATAAAAAGACTTATGACTGCTAGGGCTAATGAAGATACATCGGGATAATTATCCCCTCACAAATTCAAACCGTCTTGCATCTCTTAATAAAAATTTAAATCTTAATTCATCACATTATAAAAAAATAGTCCTTTTCATTATTTAATCGATCAAGCATAATGAAACTGGCTTGGACATGAACTAACGTGTTAAATGGAGCAACACACGAGGAATGTAATGTCGTCAAATAAAACTACTAATATGTAATTTTCTAATGACCAAAATTGGTCATCTCACGGATTAGCCAACAATCTACACGGTATTTGAATTAGGATTCCGTAATAAAAATCAATTCAGATTTTGCCTCCTTCATTAATCAATATTTATAGATTAATAATTCTACTTTTTGACTATCTCATGTTGTTCGTATAATTTTTTATACTTTTTCCTGCCTTTTCTTTTCTTTTTTTTTACCATGCCAGCAGTATTTTTCTTACCCACAATTCGGTTGGCGATGATGGAACGACCGTTGTGTATCCGATAACCTAAATACAATAGCAGCCCACCAGGAAAATGAAAAAGGAATCATTATTGGTCAGCAATAGTACGCGCGCTCAGATTCGCTCCAGTTTTCTCTGCCCCCTGCTTCTGCTGGCCAAAGCTTCAATTTTGATTTGGGTTTGCCTTCTGGGACAATGCCTTCCCATCCTCTAGCTTCTTTCAACTTCCAAGATCTCTTGGATTCCATCGAAGCTTTCCTCTTTGATTGCGATGGTATATGAATGTCCTGTCGATTTTTCCTCCTGTTTTCCTTCCTTTCTTCATTCTAGTTGTTTGATATGATCGTTACTGTTAGGTGTCATTTGGAAGGGTGATAAGCTTATTGATGGTGTTCCCGAGACTTTGGATATGCTCCGGTCCAAGGTGTGTGTAATGTGATTTACTTTGTTCATTTCTTTTATCGGATTGAACTCATCAGTAATTTAATTTTGTGTTGTGCTTTAGGGAAAGAAGCTGGTGTTTGTGACCAACAATTCCTTAAAATCGAGGAAACAGTATGCTAAAAAGTTCCAGTCTTTAGGAATTTCGGTTTCCGAGGTTTCGTTTTTCTTGAACTAAATCGGGAATGAACTTTCATGTTGTTAGATTTGGAGTAATTCACTCATTGCTACCTTTTTCATTTTGCAGGAGGAAATTTTCTCCTCGTCCTTTGCTGCTGCCATGTACTTGAAGGTCAACAATTTTCCCTCGGAAAAGAAGGTTGGTGAGCTGAACTAATACCGCAAAAGAAAGCTTTTGAAATTCTTACTTCTATTTCAAGTATGCCCAGTTTCATATCTTATGTTGCTTACATATCAATATGTGAAAGACGATAGTTGAGTGGCGTACCCTGCGACGATCTTAGTTAAACTTCATCTTCACCAGCGTTAATCTTTCACGTGCTTGTTTCTGTGTCTGCATAATGAAATCTGAAAGCCAGACACTAAAATATTTTGGAGTTACATTCTCGTGTCATTTGAAGTTTTTGAAGCTCAGTACGCAAGTTTTCGTTAGTGCATCATTCTGATTTCATTAGCTTGTTTCGTCCTAATATTCTCATCATCTATGTTGAGTGATTCGAGTCTCAATATTTTATTCCACTTTAACTTCTTGGCTTCATGTAGGAGACTCCCTATTTTTTAGATAGTACCTTGTTCATAAATTATTAGAACAGTCATTAAGTATTTCACTGTTGCAGTTATAAAATCTAGGTTGAGATTTGTTATTTTTGCCAATCCGAAGATGTCAGTTTAATCCACTGTTCTTTTTTTTTTTTGGTTTGCTTTTCACGTTTCATTCTGCAGATTTATGTAATTGGCGGAGAAGGTATACTGGATGAGTTGCAGCTTGCAGGATTTACCGGTCTTGGTGGTCCAGTAAGTTCAGCTAATTCACTTTTCCCCTTCTTTTCTTAGATTCGAATTAAATTTTAAGGTCACATTCTTTATATTTTAGAGAGCTATCTGTGAGAAATGTATTGTGCTCCCAAATTAATTTCTTTCAGTTCGAGTGATCTTTAGCTTCAAATTTAGTTGGTTAGATGGTCCTTCACTTCTATGAGGTAGGTAGTGGGAGGGAGTCTCGCTAGATATGAAACCTTCCCTTAACAAATTGATTCAAGCGATCAAATTCAAATCTTAGCCTACTGTAAATATTCACTGATACAAGACAGAGACAGGGATGACCGCCACTGACATAGCCCTCATAGAAGAGTTCAATTGTTGCAGGCAGACGGGAATAAAACAGTACAGCTGAATCAGAACCGCTACTTTGACCATGATAAGAGTGTAATGTAACATCTTGCTCAATTTTTCTACATGCATTTTCACTGACTTCAGTGCATGCAGTTAACTGCTGAACTCATTCTTGCAGGTTGGAGCTGTTGTGGTGGGAATAGATCCATACATTAACTACTACAAGCTTCAGTGAGAAAATCTGTCCCCTTTGTTCCTGACTAAAATTTCAGTATATTTTCTTGTTGACTTGTGTCTCCAGTGATCAAACTTAGGATCCTTAATGACTTGTCTGCATATGTAGTTCATAAAAAATATTAAGAGATGCTATCACAACTGTATTTTTGCACCTGCCACGACATGAATTATGGAGAGAGAGCACAAGTTTCTGGCAGTCTTAGTTCGGCCTTGTGGATTAATCTGCTCTGCCGAGTTTTCTAAACTGCTTCTTTTGACGTTTATTTATGCCAAACATCTGTAAGGATAGAGTACAAGGTTTTTGTAACAAGTATATGATACAGAATGAATGACATATTGAACACATTACTCTTTTTCAAGAAGACTGATGCATCAAACTAACAATTACAACAGTTAAAGTAAGTCACATAACCAAAAGGAAAAAAAAAACAGTTAAAGTAAGTCAAAATAAATCACGTGCCTTAGAGAGCGACCTGACAGAAGAATGGACGTTGAAGTTTCAGTATTATTTCTCATTTGCCCTAGGCGAGCCATGAATATGACTATATGAAACAGCTAAAAATCACAGTTTTAATATCTTTTTACATCCTCTGAAATTATTGTGAAACAAGAAAACCTTTTGAATGCTAGCATCAAATCATCAGTTTATTACTCGCTGTTCTTTGCTTCATATGATTATACTTCAATGTCTGACTTCACAGGTATGGAACTCTTTGCATACGGGAGAATCCTGGATGCCTTTTCATTGCCACCAATGGAGATGCAATTGGACATATGACTGCCTTGCAAGAATGGCCTGGTCTGGTTCTCAGTTCCATTCTATTCTCGTAGACTAGAATTAGTATGCAACTTGATTAATTATATGGTCGTATAATGGATCAAAAATGAACTTCAGGTGCCGGTTGTATGGTTGCTGCCATTTGTGGATCAACCCAAAAGGAGCCTGTTGTAGTTGGGAAGCCATCCACCTTTATGATGGACTTTTTATTACAGAAGTAAGAAAGCCAAATGACATAAGTTTGTTGGTTCTTTTTCCCCATTTTTCCTTTCCCGCAGGGACTTGCCACTCGCTTGATATTCTTCTCATCATTGTATAATTCATCCTTTGAATCAGATTCAACATAAGTCCATCCAAGATGTGTATGGTGGGGGACAGGCTAGACACTGATATTTTGTTTGGACAGAATGCCGGCTGCAAAACTCTTCTTGTATTTTCAGGTAATGGATTCAGCTTTCTCTTCGGAGGTGGGGGGTGACAATTGAATTAAAGACCCTATAAGAAAATTTATATAAAATAAAAGACCTTCAAGTTGTGAATATGGGAGTTTGATTTGTAAATTCAGAAGTTTCAAGTGATACGCGGTCCTCACTGTACATTAATGTCCTTATAGGATCTTCAATTGTGATTTAAGAAAAAAGGACTTGTCTTTCGAGTTGTCCTGACTATGAAAATTATTGACAACTTGGTTTGATTACTTTGGGGGAACAGGTGTCACGTCAGAACCTGAGCTGAAAGACCCTTCAAATAACATTCAACCAGACTACTATACGGGCCAACTATCTGATATGCTGAAATTTTCGGGAGCTTAGTTTAATACCTTCCAATTTGGACATCCCTTTCAATTCTTGGGAAATTTTTTTACAGTTGCAGGTAGTCCATAAAAAAGCTACATGCTCTAACTGAGAGCAATTGATCCATACACAAACTATTTCTTTGAGATATCTGATTGTTTCCCCATTCTTATTATTAATATTATTACTGTTGTCATTATTTTGAAATTTTCTTGCCTATCAGTAATAGGAGAATGGACTAGAGAGAGAGATATATATATATATATATAGAAGAAATAAGGTTAAGAAGAAAAGAGATGGCTTGGATGAATAAGTAATATAATACTGCAGTATTTGGTGGTAATAGCCTGTTTATCAATATCGTAGGCCAATATTTGCATCTTCCAATAACTTTGATTTCCACAAAATCATATAAGAGCTTGAAAAATAACATGATGAATGTATATAGATAATCAATATTAAATAATTATAGTAATATAATAAATATTATATATTTAAATTTTTAAAGCTAGGAAGAATTTTCAGTCATGCATAAAATAATCCACATCGATAATGGAGACCCACCTACCCTCTTTAACAATCACTTGTAGTTTCTTGGTTTTATTTATTTGGCTTTTTTTCTTTTTTCTTTTTTAAGTATTTGTGTCTGCAAAACGATACATGACCCTTTATCCTATAAATAATAAAAGAGTCAGTTCAGAAAAGATCAGTGGAACTCCAAACCCAGAAGCACACAATGACGTTTCAATATCATATGTGGTCCACAAGTTTTTCTTCATCTTTCCAGAGAGAAAAGTGAGGATTACAGGTCAAATGGGAGAGATAAGCTCAAGAAAGAAAAGGAAAAGAGGGAAGGGATATATTATAATGTATGAATTGGGCCTTGCTAGTTGCTAGCCAGTACAAGATAGACTCATGGGTCAATAATTTTATCCAAAGCCACTTTTTCTTTATTTTTTCCTTTTTTTCCTTTTTCCTTTTGTAGTTTTTGCTCTTGTTTTTCAACTTTTGTTTTGTGGGCAAGAGATTTTAACATCAAAAGGAGCTATAAAGTGAAGCTTGCACCCAAAATCCCACATTTCCAAAGCTTTCTCAAAAGCCTTCTGCTAGGTAAGGCTATCAAACTCTGAAGCATCATCAAAAACAGGAAAAAAGAAAGTCTCATGCATGTGTGTCTCAAATAATTAATATTTCTCAGCATTTATATGTTTTTATAATAATTTTACATTTTCTCTTTTTCTTTTTTTCTTTGTTGTTCTTTTTTTTTTTTTGTGTTGAGAAAGTCAGACTTGTTTATTGTGGGTATAGACTGAGGGTCCCAAGAGTCAGATGAAAGGCACATGCAAAAATGCCATTGAAGAACTGCTACATCTGGATGCTGCTCATATCAGTCTGTAATGCCATCAGAATATTTAATCCCAGTAACTATAATAATAACAATAATAATGAGCAATAACATGATGTGAGAGGGAGAAAGAGGGAGGGGGAGGACCACTGCATAAAATTGATAGTAGTTTTGAATCATAAAGAGAAATAGTGGCATGTGGCTATGCTAAGGTAGCTCAAAACTCTATGCATGGACCTCTGTGAATCCTCTCTCTCTCTCTCTATATATAATCAATGCCTTTGTTGCAGATATGAATCTTTGAAAATTATTTCGCTGCATGGAGCCTGGCATATTAAATTAGTGGGGTAATTAACTGGCAGCATCACATGCAGAAGGCTTAATAAGAGTATAGATCAGAGTTCATATAGAATAATGAATGCAATTTTCTTCTTTGTGTTTTTCTTTTTGTATTTGCTTAATTAATGGTACATGACATAATGTAGCAAAGAATGATGTCTTTTACTTAATGGTTCCATAGGTTTTGGTGGGAGGCCAACCATAGTATATGTGTATTAAGGAAGGGTCAAAAGGTTCTGTAACATAATGGTACTACTTTTGTTTTAATTAACTAAAAATGTTTGGCATATAGATTCTCCCCTTCCTTTTTTCTTAAATTTTGCTATTTGATTATTACTGTTGTTGGTATATATGGGTGCATTATTGAATACATATGTGCTCAACTTTTCTTATAGGTGTCAACCCATTTTGTACTGAGATGCAATATTTCTATTTTCTTTAATTAATTACATTATTGCAAACATAAGAGAGCTGAAATCTCAATTCTCTATCATGGGTTATTGTCTTCATTTAATTCTTATAAATTTCTTACTATTGGATCAAGATCGTAATAAAGAAGAGTCAATTCTTAAATATTTAAAGAAAACTAGCTCACGGTAAAATTGAGTTTTTATAGCTCTATTTACTTATGCAGATGTCTTGTATCCATTTGCCATGAGATTAATCCAATTGTTAAAAAAACTCAGTTTAAAGAAAATAAATAGAGACCGAAGCTCTACTTACATCTCATCCTACTTTTATCACTTAAACTAGTAACTAGTAATCTCTCTCCGTATTTACCTTTGAAGGAGCAAGCTCTGGACCCCAAAAAAAAAAAAAAAATCCTCAGGAAATAAACCAAGTGTTTTTTGTCTTCTTCTTCTTCTTCTAATTCGAAGGATAGACACTAACTGTTTTGCGTCACAATTAGAATTCAACTCATAACTTCTTACTTAATAAGCTCTCCTAACATTAGACCATAAGGTTATTGGCTAAATCGATTGTGTTTTATGTAATACTCCTCCGTTTCTTAATATACTGTTGAGTTGATTTTGATCTTAAATATAAGACCTACTTCTCATATATATATATATATCAATTTTTTTTAAATTACCTTATAGATACTCCCTCAACCATAATCAAATAGAAGAGGGAGAAAAGATCTTAAGGAAGATGATTATGGTGTTTTGGGAAAAACATATCATACTTTTTTTTATAATTAGCTAATTTACCTAACTTCCTTAATGTAATCAAATTAGTTAAATAGATCTTATATTAAAAACAAAAGAAGTATATATATATATGTACGTACATAGATATAGATATATACTGATGGGGAGAGTGGTGGGGGTGTTGAAGGGGTGTGCTTTTAGATGTGGGACCCAAGTTCTAAGACGATGGATTCAATTCAAAAGCCCCTGATCCTAATCCTACCCTTCAAAGTTGAATGTTTCAATAGAATACTCATCTTCCTTCATGTGTGGCCATTACTAACTCAAGCTGGATTCAGAAAGCGACTTCAATCAAACCAAACACACTTGGAATGGTAAGACCAACCAAATCCCCGCAATACTCTCATTCTCTTTTACTTTTAGACCACACTGATCAATTCCAAATTTCCCACTGCCAGATTTTAATTTTCTCATCTCATACCCAAACCACCTTATGCCAGTCTTACCTTCTTCATGTTTTGAACAGGACTGGTTAATTTGGCCATAAGAACATATATATACTAATATCTATGTGGGAACATGTCTCTTGTGTTGTTGATTGATATTAGTCTTGTGGTTGAGATTTAAAGCAGGGTGAATTGTGGGCATGTTTCTTGTTACAAGTCAATTTAATTACATCACATAGGCCCTCTTGCCTCCATACATGTTTGTGTTGTCAAAATGTAGGAAAGGTGTTTGTGGATATGTGAGTGAGAGACATGGATGCTTTCCAGGATAGATAAGTGTGTTTGGATTATCTTAATTGCATTGCTCCCATAAACAAAAGCATGTCAACTTGGAGAGGGAGGGGGCCTCATTAGAAAAATAAATTCCAACCACTTTGATTGTTAACTTATTTATGAGATTTCGTTCTCATTTGGGGCCTTATACAGTTGTGTATACGTGTGTGTGATTGTGATTACATATTTTATAGTATATCAATAGCTTCATTGTAGGTTGGCGTGAGTGGTATATCAAATATGAAAAATTAAATCTCTACTTATCTATATTTGTCTTTTGTATTTTGAAAAAAATTAGTTTACCCACAAGCGTTATTCCTGATATTAAATATGAGAAATTAAATCACTAATTATCTCTTGAAACAAATTCAAGGAAACAATTTCAGCCAAGTTCTTTGGGAGAGTGTGAAAAGCCTTTCGTTTTTTTTTTTGCTATGCGTATGTATCTTTTTATTAGAAGTAATCCTATTTAAGACACTGTCAGCAGAGATTCAAACTTTAGTTTATCATGTTGTGATAAACTAGTTCTTTTCATTAGACCTAACCTTATCAGTGTGAAAAGCTCATTTATTAGTGCAATCCTTTATCTCTCCCTTTCCCAGTTTCTCTTATTTTAGGGTTTTATGATCCTTATGTTATCCCTTGTCCCATCAACACAATTCAAGCATTTAGAAGGGTGGTCCTTCCTAGTTTTAATTCTAACATATTTTACTTTTTATTAAATTGGATAAAAGTTTTTGAATCTTGAATTTTAGATAGTTTCCTCCCTTAAAGTTTATATTATGCTCATATAATTATTTTAAATGTCAAATATAGCACACTAACATGTTACTCTTTCTTCATCGATAAAATAATATACTACCAAATGTTCATAAATTTACAAAAGTTATAGCGATTAATAATTATTTAAAAGTCAAATGTTTATTTGTACAGGATGAGCATATATACACTTTGGCCAAGATAATTTATGGTATCATCTAAATTTAGAATTAAATATCTTTTGATTTCTTCAGTGGAGATACTTGATAACCTGGGATCTTTAGTTGGACCCTTTAGAAGAGAATAAATAATAGAAAATTAGAAGAAAAAAAAAGTAGGGTAGCACAATTGATTTCATGTGGACTTTCTTTAATTTTCTTTTTATTACTTATTAACCGAACCCCTTTTGTCATAAGAGAGGATCTAATTTAAGACATCTCTTATAATATTAAGATAATTTTTGAATATAAAACATGATATAACCCTTGCTTGAGACATCAAATATAAATCATGTTATTAAATTTATTATATGAAGGTACAATTTTATTTTTAATTTATTATTCTGTAAGTTATTATTTCCTTAAAAACTATAAATATTAAAATAGAGGTAAAATTGTAAAGTTATAAAATTTTAAGATAGACTTAATAAGTTCTAATTTTTTTAATCCTGACAAAACATTTTAGAAATACCTTATAATAGGATGACAAAAAACAGAGTACATCTTTAATAATGAAATATGACCATAGGAATTGGAATTGTGAAGAAGTTACCAACCAAATGAGTGCATAATTCATATTTTGATTGCATACAATGAAATTAAAGCCTCTGCTTTTTGGTAGATAATCAAAAGGAGCAGTAATGGCCATTACTTTTACAAATAGCAGATGGACCACCAAGAGAATGTTATTATTATAGCTGCGGCATATATTCAGTATGTATTACACTTCTAATCTTCATTGGTACACCAAAACATTCTCATTCTTCATTGGTCCATTTCTTAGTGATCTTATTGACTATTAGAGAAAATAGGCTCCCGTTTTAGGCAACAAAAAATCTTTATGTCGGCTTAAGTATAGGAATTTGTATTTTCTCTCTGATGTTTCATGCAAACATAATCATAATAACAATTATTATCTATAGGAAAAAAAATTCCACATCTTGGAAGACCTTCTTTTTACAGTTTTCCCCCTCTTTTTTCTAGGTTGAAATATTAAGAAAATATATATTATGGACTGAAATATATATAGTTTCAGGAAGTGAGTTCTTGAAACATTAATTGAAACATTATGTTAGGGATCTGCGGTTCTCATATTATAGCTATCCATTTACACTTTTTTTTTATAAAAAATAATATATCATTCAATCATTATGCAGTTAGGCATTGCTTATCATGCTTCCATAAATTCAGCTCTTTGCTCTATCATCTATGTACACTTAACTTAAAAAAAAAAAAACAATAGAAATGTAGCATGTGTATTTGACATTAAATTTAAATAGAATCAAAGTATTTTCTATAATATTCATTTTATTTTCAATTGGCAACAAGGATCGTTTCATTGAATAAAAAAATTTCCTCAAAATCCGATCCTAAAATCTAGAATCTAGAATTCAATAATATGACAGCTCAACATTTTTAGAAGCCAAACTGAGCATAATATTATCTATTTATCATGAAACTTAATTCAAGATGAGTAGCCCCAAAAAAAAAAGTTATTTCGAAATTTGAAAAAATAACCCACAAAATCTATTAACTATTATTAAAATAGAAAGGGCATAATTGTCATGTTACTGATTAAAAAAATTGGAGAACACAAACCAAAAGAAAACATTAAAAAATAAAAAAAAAGTAGAGAGATGAAGAATTATTTGGGCACAGGCATGACAGACAGGGGCAAGACCTCAGAAGAACAGAGAACTGTTTTGTGATTTGGACCCCGCTTGTTTCAGGACAAAAACCCAATGAAATAATTGAACCAAGAAAAAGCTTTGCTTTACCTTTGACCTCATACTCTCTCTCTATCTCTTTCTCTCTCCCCCTCGCCCCGCCTAATGGAGTAATAGTACACCACAGGCGAAGGCCCAGTCTAGTTTCATGACTCTCCATAGCTTCCATTCCTCTATGTTTCTCTCTCTCTAAGCTTCCCGGAGTTCTCTTTTCTACATTATTTTCGCCCCTTTTCATCACTGCTAAAGCAACGACGCTGAGGGAGTTCTGATCCTCGAAATAAGGTACTCTTTTGGGCTTATCCTACTTTCCTTTTGGTGGCTCTCATTTCTCTTCATGTGGGTTGCATCCCTTTCCCTTCAATTTTTGCTTTTTGCACCGGGGTCTCCATCTTCCCTTGAATCTACCGCAAATTTCACTCGAAATCAAGGTTCTATGATCAAGATCCAGGTTTCGTTTAATTAGTCTTGATCATTTTCGTTTGGCTTGTCACGATTATTTTATCTGTCTGAATAGGTTAAAATCTGTCCAAAATCTGCATTTTTCGTGTTGGGGCCCTAATTTGATTGACACCTATCTTGCTTTTTGTTGGTCCTCCTAGTCCTCCCCTTTTCATTCGTTTTCTGTAATTTTTCTTTTTCCTTTCAATTTCACTACTTTATCTTTTCGGGGGATGGTGTTGGGAAGATGAGAACCGAGGTGTCTTTGTTAGTTGCTTCTCACTTCTGAGCTTTACTAATCTGGGCATGGAGTACATGCAGCTTCGCAGCTTTATTTTCTTCTCCCCTTCTTTCTGGAAATGAAAGTCACTTGATTTACCTATTGGGGTTAGCTGCTATAATATTTTGCTTTTGGATTTTCTCTTGGTAAATCTGACGTTGAATTTGTTTGATTATCTTCTTGTGGTTTAGCTATTATATGATATCTACGTGATTCACGAAGTGGGCGATATTCTATCACTGCTTACTGGATCTGTTGCTATCCCATCTTAAGTGTGAGTTGTTATGTGACAAGTCCATTGTGGCATAGGTTTTGTCTCTTCATTAATAGATTGGTAGATCACCCTCTGCTCTGATGTTAATGCTAAGCCTATTGCATCAAACTGCAGTCAACGACTGACAATTTTTTCCTGATTCCTTTTATATATTGTTTCTTATCATTGAAGAAATTGCAGGTGATCGGGATTACTGATGGAAGATACAATGCTAATGGAGACGGATGGCCGGTCACAGATTTGGTTGGTTTGATCTGATTTAAGACTGTTTATCATATCTGATGGACTCAAAAACTAGTGCTAGAGCTGCCCAGAAACATCATCATAAGACGGCTGGGATTCAAACAATAGAGGCAAAAGACATCAAATCTTCAAAGACTGGGAAATCTGAACTGGCTGCGCCAGAAGATTTATCAAAATATGTTCAGGACTCGTTGAAGCAGTACACTGGAGACGCTTCTGAAAAGAAGAAGCTAGGGAGTTCAAACCCAAAGGAGTCTGCTGATTCCTTGATTAGTAAATTTGGTTCTTCTGTTTCCTTATCTGTTAATGAACAACTATCTGGAGGAGTTGACCATGTTGTTAATGGGAATAGAGGTTTGCAGGAAAGCTCTATTGACCAAGAAAAGAAAACATTAGAATATGGAAGTGTGAAGAGTAGTTCTGTTTCTGCTAAAGTTAGTGATGGGGCCAGCAGCCTGGCAAAGACCAGTGGAAGTGCCAAGATTAGTGATCGAGTTGATCTTGTTGAGAGTGGCAAGAGTAGCATTTGCAGAGGAAGTACAAGCAGTGATGTGAGTGATGAGAGCACTTGCAGCAGCTTTAGTAGCAGTGTCAACAAGCCTCACAAGGCAAATGACTTGAGATGGGAAGCTATTCAAGCCGTCCGAGCTAAAGATGGAGTTTTGGGCTTAGCTCACTTTAGACTACTGAAGAGGTTGGGTTGTGGGGATATTGGGAGCGTTTATCTCTCAGAACTGAGTGGAACTAAATGTTATTTCGCAATGAAGGTAATGGATAAAGGGTCTTTAGCTAGTCGTAAAAAGCTGCTTCGTGCTCAGACAGAAAGAGAAATACTGCAATCACTTGATCATCCTTTTCTCCCGACATTGTATACCCATTTTGAGACAGAGAAGTTCTCATGCTTGGTAATGGAATTCTGCCCAGGTGGAGACCTGCACACTCTCAGGCAGAGGCAGCCAGGGAAGCATTTTCCTGAGCAAGCAGTAAAGTATGTTTAAGTCAGAACTCCCTTTTCTTTTTTCATTAATTCAAGTGATAATTCATTTGATTATTACGTATAAATTGATGACCTGAATTTTCTAAATTGTTCCCTTGGTTTACTTCTAACAATCTAACACCTGTGGTTAATTCCCGCCTTATGAAAGTGCTTTATTCTACTCTATGTTTGTAAAGCTCTTAGTTCACTTCTTCTCTTTCATTGAGGTATGCAAAGTTCTTAGACTTGAAGATTTTATATTTTTTGAAATAAGAAAAAGTAAATGCAACAAGTCCCAGATGTTGTATCAACTTTATAATATAATTATGCTGTATATCTTGGTGGGTATCCGTAATTCATTGATCGTCAGAGGATGTTATACATATTTGGTTTTGAAAGTCAAACATTGTAAAAGTTTTCAACCATGACAATTGCTGCTGCATGTTATTTGTATTACATTATGTGATTAGGAAAGTAGTCTGGTCATGCATTTGTGGTTCATCTATCTCAGAATACCTGTGGAATGTGGATTTTAAATATACTTGTCTATAGGTCAAGCAAACCAGAATTAAGGGATCACAGATGGGTCTCATGCTCTGCTTTTTCCCCAGGAAAAGCCATCATGGACCTTATTCTGTATTTGGTTTTGACTTGGCTTTTGGCATTTGAGCATGCCCAAACTTCTTCACCTTTCTGAAGTCTGATGATGTCTGCTTGCTAGAGATGCAAGCACTCATGCTCCTAGTCTAGATATAATATTGCCTAGTGAGATCATGGTTTGGATTTGATTTGATGGTAACAGCTTCTATGTTATTGTTGAATTGCAGATTTTACGTGGCAGAGGTGCTGCTGGCGTTGGAGTACCTCCACATGCTTGGCATTGTCTACCGTGATCTCAAGCCAGAAAATGTCCTTGTTAGGGATGATGGGCACATTATGCTCTCAGACTTTGACCTTTCCCTCCGTTGTGCCGTTAGTCCCACTCTTGTTAAAAGTTCAGTCATGGAATCTGATCCTTTAAGGAAGAATCCTGTATATTGTGTGCAACCTGCGTGTATTGAACCGCCTTCCTGCATCCAGCCATCCTGCGTTGCTCCTACAACATGCTTCTCACCTCGGCTCTTTTCTAGCAAATCAAAGAAGGATAGGAAACCCAAAACTGAAATTGGAAACCAAGTGACTCCATTGCCTGAGCTCATTGCTGAGCCTACCGATGCACGATCCATGTCATTTGTTGGAACCCATGAATATTTGGCACCTGAGATCATCAAGGGAGAAGGTCATGGGAGTGCGGTTGATTGGTGGACTTTTGGAATCTTTCTATATGAGCTTTTGTTTGGTAAGACTCCTTTCAAGGGTTCTGGGAACCGAGCTACGTTGTTTAATGTTGTAGGCCAGCCTCTCCGATTTCCAGAAGCACCTGTTGTAAGTTTTGCAGCAAGGGATCTCATAAGGGGGCTGCTTGTGAAGGAACCCCAGCACAGGTTGGCATATAAACGAGGCGCCACTGAGATAAAGCAACATCCCTTTTTTGAAGGTGTGAATTGGGCACTTATTCGCTGCGCCACCCCACCAGAGATCCCAAAGCCTGTAGAGTATGAGAAGATACCTTCCCCAGCCTCATCAGCGGCCGAAAAGGCCAGCAACCATATGTCAATTGCCGATCAGAAAGGCTCTGGTAATTATCTTGAGTTTGATTTCTTCTAGTGTTAGAGACAGATATTGATGATTGCAAAATGGTTTCTGTTGAAAGAAAGGGGGGAGGAACTGTTTTTCAATGTTTAAAGAACAGATGATGAGGAATTGTATGTTTTGTTTTTGTTGGCTGTTTCTTGTTTCACAAGTTGTATGGCATATAATTAATGCATGGCTTCTCTGTCATCGGTGAAAGCATAAAGGAAAATGCCCCTTTTGAACTGCCATTGTCATCTCAAAGCTCCGTATCTATGTCCCAAAAAGATGAAGCATTTTTATATGCCATCAAACTCAACTGGGTACAGTTCTGAGTTGTAATCTATTGGTAGACATTCATTGATCGCAGAACACTGTGAGTTGGAATCAGAACGTTCGGTGACTCCTACTCTCCATAGTACTCACAGATAAACTATTATTTTATCCATACTAGGATTAATGATAAAATGACATCGTAAGCAGTTTTTAGAATAAAAATGTTGTTCTATATATATATATATATATATATTAATTTCGTTCTGTAGTAGTTTTGCGCTGAAAGATGGTCGAAGCAATCTCTGAAACTTCGCCTCTAGAAAGGCGAGATTTCATCTTCCTTTCTCTCTGTCATGGGCTTACTTTCGAAGCTACCAAACGGATCTTAGCTTTCACAGATGTTCCGGCGTTGCAAACAAAGTATATCACGGATCCTCCGTGAATGATTTGAGTGTCTCCGTTCAACCTATCAAAATTGATACGCTTTTCCACAAGATTCATCTTTGACGTTCTTATCTACATGTTCATAATTACATCCACTTTTCTTTTTGACAATCCCTAGCGCATCTAATTCCACAATCTAAAGCCCGGATCCACCGACGATTTCTTTTCGGTCTTAAAGTGGGATTCATCCGGATGCAGAAGAAATTCTGGGCCCGGGCATCTTCTTGAAGGGAACACCACCACGAGATTCATCTTCTTCCCGTGAAGATCCAGATAGCGGAGTGTCACATTCGCTGGAACGTGGCGAGGCAGCCCCAACCAGGTCATAAATCACGTCCTTTCCTTCGCATATGATCTTCACGTCACAGTTCTCAGGTGCTTTCTTCACTACCTCAACTGCCATTGCTTTTCTTCTGCGAGACCCACTTTTCCTATCATCAATCCAATAACTGAAACGTTGGAAATTACAAAATGCTCCTTCCGATCATATCGGATTTGGATTTGGTAATTAGAGGTAGCTTAGGGAGACTATGTTAGATTCGTTGTAATTCATTAACTAATTTATTTGACTTTCTTAATATATTCAAATTAATTAAATACTATCTCCACTCCTAAATACTACCTCCTGTCCTAATTATAAGAGCCAGTTGACTAATTTGAGAAGATTAAGAAAGTAAGTTGAGTTAGTTATTTGTCCTAAATAGGTGTCGTTTTTCCTAAAATATCCTTGTTAATCAAGTGTATTGCTAGAACTATCATTGTTAGAAGGACTGCTTTGGAAAAATATATATAAATATGAGAGACAAAGTGGATTGGAGTCTTATATTTAGGACTAAAATAAAAGTCAAACAGGGTCTTATATTAAGGACCGGAGGTAGTATAAGATCTTATGAACTACTACCTTCGGTCCTAATTATAAAAGCTAGTTGACTAATTTGAAGAGATTAAGGAAAGAAGTTAAGTTTGTTATTTGTAACAAACAGGCATTGTCTTTCTTAAAATATCCTTACTAATCAAGTGTATTGGCTAAAACTATTATTGTTAGAAGGATTATTTTGAAGAAAAAAATACATAAATATGAGAGACAAAGTGGACTGGGGTTTTATATTTAGGACTAAAATAAAAGCCAAATAAGACCTTATATTAAGGACTGAAGGTAGTAATTTGGAGGAGTTATTGAAGTTAAATAAATTGCTTTAAAATAATTATATTTATCATTCTTTTTCAAATTAGTTTTTTTAACTCATAAATTTGCATATAATCTAATAATACATATGATTGTTTTAGAAAGATCATGTATTCATGTAGCATATAATGTTTTTTATTTTTCTAAATTAATTAATTGAATTTTATATTAAGGACTTTTATATTAAAAATTAGAGTCACCTTACCTGAGATTAGATTTGGTAATTCCAAGGACTAATTTTTGGACTCCTATGTTGTTGATGACATCCACAATACTTTCGGCCGCGTTGTCGCCTTCAGTAAGCATTGTCTCCACCTTGACCTGTATGTTTTGCAAATTAGTTTTGGCATTTAGAATCATAAATTAAATGAATTATATATGTATATTTTTAATTCAGTTTTAATGTAAAAGGTTAAGAAAAATGTGACCTGACTCCTAAGAAAGGGACAATCCTGTAGGCTCCTCCAAACAAAGAAATCTAAGAAAAGGCCCTGGCCTTTTTCACGTCCTACTCAATATGGGCTTTAGGCCCATTAAAAAGGAATTAAATGGGTATTATTTACCCATACACACACACGCGCGACAAAAGCAATTTCATAGTAATTTTTATTTGTTTCTGTTTCGGAACAATTGGATATATATATTTATATATATATATATATATTTGAAGTTCATTTATGCTATTGAGGAACTTGCATGATTTTCCATAATTTGATTTAATTAAAAACTTATATTTTAATGGAGAAAGTACTTAAACATATCAAGTGTTTGGATTTGTCTGAAAGTGCTTTCTAAAAACACTTTTTTGTAAATCAAAACAAATTTATTCATATATTTACTTTATAAAATCATAATTTAGTTTCTATTTGAACACTTCCTTAATATATCAATAAAATATAGAAAGTTAAATTATTTTTTTAAAAAGATCAGAAATGACGTAATTAACTTGCTTCGAACACCAAGCATAATTAATTATGAAGCTTCTAGGAATGTGGGATGACATTACCTGGGAAGCAAGGCACAAGTCAATGAACCTTTGAAGAAGACGTTTCCGGTTGCATTTGTGTTGGTCTAAGTAGAGATTAATGTGGGACTTGTTTACGTGGCTCCTTGGAAGTTTTCCCACTGCAATTAATTGCCACAATTAACTAAATTAAATATATATAATAAATTCTACAAACTAAGTTTTTATATATAATACATTTAAATGCGTATACGCGCATAAACATGTCAACGTTAGGTTGGAACTCGAGATATCATCAAACAATTATACAAATTTATTGATGAAAGTGTTTTGCATATATTTTTGTATTTAAATGTCAACCATATACATTAGATATTTTTCTTGCCTACCAGATTCCCTTTTTCATCGTCACAGCCCCAGGTGGCAAACTCTTATTTGATACTCCCTCTACTTCACAGTTGAGGGCACTTTTGTATCGCAAATATTAAGAAAATTCAATTTTTTTTAAACCTCATAAAAATTCAATTTATTCTTTTAGTTTTGCCCTATCCACAACTAACACTCATATAATTCTTAAAACTACAAAATTCCTACATTTTGGACTGACAATAATTTCTAAAGACATGTTTTACATTATTATGGACGGGAGCTTCAAGGGAGTATTTTTTAAGCAGAAATAAAAAGGAAGAGTGACATTTAAGTTCCCAAAGGATGAATCAATGATAGGTATGTTTTTAAGATTTTTTTTTTTTGAAAATGAATTGTAGACATTGATTCAAATAGTTGCAAAAAGAAATCTCAATTGTAAACTGAGAGTTACATTTGAAATTTAAATGTCTCATTTGCGATTAAGATTCTTGAATTTGAGATTTTATGAATCAATGTCAACTCATTTTTTGGAAAAGTTGTCAGAAACCTAATTGTTACTCCTCCGGTCTTTAATATAGAACACAATTGTTAAGTTGGATTTAGGGTTTAGGGTTAATGGGTTAAGTGGGTTTGGTCCTCAATATAAGACCCATTTATCATATTTATCAATTTCTCTAAATTACCCATATAGATACTCTCTCAACCATAATCAAGTAAAAGAGGGAGATGAGATATTAAGAAAGATGATTATGGTGTTTAGGAAAAATGTGTCACATTTTTATAATTAACTAACTAATTAATTTTCTTAATCTAATCAAATTAATTAAATGGGTCTTATATTAAAGATTGGAGGAGTATTAATTCATTCATTCAGGCCTTACTTGCTTGACTAGAAATCTTACTACTCTTTTGGTTGAAAAGTCAAGGTTGTGAATTCTGTTCCCCCAAATTATGAAAGAAAATAACATTGACCTCCCCAAGCTCCAAACACATCATTTTTGCAGTGAGACTCCAAACATATCTTCATCCTATGTTTGATATGAAAGAAATGAAGGGAAGAAGAAGGCAGGAAAAATTTTAATGGGTTGGATTTAAATAATTGGAGAACTGGGATTATAAAACTTCAATAAAACTAAGATGTAAAATAAAATAGTAAGAAATTAAAAGGGTTAGTATAACATTTGGTTCTTCAAATTTGCCTTCATTTTGGTTTTGGTCCCTAAAAAGGCAAAATAGTTAAAGTTTTTATTAGATGATAGGGATAAATGTTATAAATGGAAAGAAAAAAATTTGAGGGACTAAAATCTATGGTTTGAAATTTTAAAGACCAAAACCAAAATGAAGATAAATTTAAAAAAACTAAAGTTTGTATTACCCCAAATTAAAAATTAATTAAAAATTTTAAGTCTACTCATTTTTTAGATTTTTAAACCAAACTCATTAAAATTTGTCCTGCCCTGCTTTCCATGCCTTGTACCAAATAGACCTTAGAAAACGATCAAAACTAACCACTCCTGATGAAAATCATTACGAAAAAAAGGGGGGAACCCTAAAACGAAGTGAACTAATAACCATTACAGAAACAGACAAGCCAAAAAAAAAAACCAAGACAAAATAGAAGTGATAAAGAAGAGTTACGATACACTTACTGGGACTAGGAATAAGTCTAACCAGGGGGAAGACATGAAGAAGACGAAGTGTTGTGAAAGGTGTGATCCAGTGCTTTAACGTCCATGAAAGTGCTTCCAAGCTCGACTTATCACCATGCTTGCCCACACACACATGCACAACATCCTCCCGCCAGCTCCGAAAATCCAGAGAGAACACACTACTCTCACAATCTTCTTCTCTTATCGTATCCAAACCCTCCTCCTTCGGGTTCTTCCCTGTACCAAACAAAGAATCCGAATCGGAATCCGAGTCCAAGTCCAATTCCAAATAACCTTCTTCTTCTTGTTCTTCTTCTACCTCCCTTGTAGCCCTCTCGTTGTTGGTTTCTAGGCTAACATCAT